TAGACTAGGCTGGCCTTGAACTCACAGGGATCCACCTGCCTCTACCTCTTAAGTGCTCCAGCCCCCCATCTTAGGTCAACTTTTAATATATGACTGCTAAATAAAAACCATGTTAATGCCCCCTCATCCCCCTTTCAGTTTTCTGTTCTTTATGGTAATTGAATAGGGACATGATTTATTGTGCCTTACATTGGTGTGAGTTGTTACAGCATTGCTGGTTCATCTTTCTACCTGTCTGTAGTTCTGCAGGTTTATATGGAATTTACTCACATCTGAGCATGCTGCCAGTGTTTGGAGTAGAGGTCCCATTGTCAGAAGAAGCTGCTTTCTTTCTCTTTATGTCCTTACCTTGATAAGTTGTCAGGGTGATAAGAGCTGCACTGTTGCTGGCACATTGAACATGATTGCTTTGTGATAGATGTCACCCAAGGAGACAGCTCATCCAGTGACTTTGGCTCCCTCCCCTCCTCTTCCTTTTTTCTTTAGGTTATTTATTTTATAAGCATGTCTTTTTTCTGGATGTATGTCTTCACCACATGAATCACTGGCACCAGAATAGCTCAGAAGAGGGTGTCAGAGCCCCTGAAACTGGGGTTCTGTATGGTTGGTAGCTGAACCCATCCTCTGTCCCAGCATCTCATGCTCTTGACAGCTGAGCCATGTCTCCAGCCTCCTCACGCTGTACATTTGCTAGCCTGATCCTAGTCTGCATTGCCAGCATGTGGCAGTGAGCAATTTATTAAAAATCTCAGCTTTTAAATCTTTGAGCTGAGAAATATAATACCTTGGTAGTGTGGTAGAGTGGACTGACCATTCTTCAAACAAAATAATTATTTAGTATGTGTGGTGTATACATGTGGTGTGCAGGTATGTTCACGATGCATGTACTTAAGGAGGTTAGAAAACTACATACTATCTTCCTTGCTTACTCTTCACTGAAGCTGAAACTTGCTGTTTTGGCTAGATTGACTGGCCAGTGAGCTACATGTTCACCTGTCTCTTCTCTTTATGACTGGCTTGCTTTGCTGCAGCACCCAGCTTTAAATATTGTTCTAGAGCTCCAAACTCAGGTCTTGATTCGTGTTACCCATTGATCCCTCTCTCAAGTCCCCTTGGATTGTAATTCTTTTTTTTTTTTTTTTTAAGATTTATATATTTATCTTGTATACAGTGTTCTGCCTACATGTATCCCTGCAGGCCAGAAGAGGGCACCAGATCTCATTATAGATGATTGTGAGCCACCATGTGATTGCTGAGAATTGAACTCAGGACCTCTGGAAGAGCAGCCAGTGCTCTTAACCTCTGAGCCATCTCTCCAGCCCAGATTATAATTCTTTTTTTTTTTAAGATTTTATTTGTTATGTATATAACATTCTGCTTCCATGTATATCTGCACACCAGAAGAGGGCACCAGATCTCATTACAGATGGTTGTGAGCCACTATGTGGTTGCTGGGAATTGAACTCAGGACCTCTCAAAGAGCTGCCGGTGCTCTTAACCTCTGAGCCATCTCTCCTGTCCCCAGATTGTAATTCTTAAGGATGTGTTAGTGTTGAGACTTCCAGATAGTCTTAATTGTTTGCTAGTGATTTATTTTGCAATTTTTAAAATGATTTTTGAGACAGGGTTTCTGTATGTAGCTTTGGCTGTCCTAGAACTAGACCAGGCTGGCCTTGAGCTTAGACATCCACCTGCCTCTGCCTCCTGAGGGCTGGGATTAGAGGAATGTGCCACTACTGCCTGGCTTGCTAGTGATTTATAGGACTGAACAATTTTGGAAAAGCATCCATTTAGTATATCCTATGTGATAGCCACTGTTAATTAGTCTTGAAATGGAATGAAGTAAGATACTGCTAATATCATTAGAAGCTCAGTTTAAATGCATGATGAACCTTTTTTTTTTTTTTGAAGAATTTATAGTTATAGTTAATCAAAAGAGGCCATGAATTTGAAAGAAAGCAAGCAGGGGTACTTGAAAATGTTTAGAGGGAGGAAAAGGAAGGGAAAGTGATGTGATTTTATGAGAGTCTCAAAAATAAAAGAAAGAATAAAAAATTAAGTTACAAAACATTCATTCACAACAGATACGTGATAGCTTGCCCATATCACCAATATTTTGCTCAGATTATTTTACTTAACTTTCTTTACAATGGAGGTTTTAATTTAATCTAATTTTCATTTTTAAAAATATTGACCCAGGAATTGACTGCATATATAGCATAGACTGGCCTCTGACTCAGTGGCCCTTGCCTGTCCACTGCTCCTGGCTCCATTAGGTTCTTTAAAGCTGTGGCTATTCATCTGTTGCAGAGCTTTAAAATGCCACATTGTCTTGCTGAGATTAAAAAAAAAAAATGCCACATTGTTACTGCACTCAGGGTGAATGACACAAGACACTGCAGAGGGTGCTGCCTTTTTAGGATCTTGCTTTGTTTAAATAGGATCCCAGCAAGCACCACATTAGATTATGTCTTTTACTGGTTAACATTACCCTTCCTTTCCATTTTACCACTGTCCTCAGCTATAGGTTAGTTGAAGCTAAGAGTTATTTGTTTTTAAAATGTTCCATACTTTGTGTATGATTTTTGTGTTTTTGTTGTTTCAGATGGGGTCTCGCAGACTGGCCTTGAACTTGATATTCTCTTGCCTCAGCCCCCTAAATGCTAGTTACAGGCATGCAACACCATACCTGGTATCTGTCCTAGGGCTTAGATTTGATACATAGAGGTTTTTTTGTTTTTTTGTTTTTTGTTTTTTGTTTTTTGTTTTGGTCATTTGGGAAATTAGGATGACTGATGATTTTGAACTGTAGACTGTGCCTTTTGAATCCTCAGGTAAGATTGAAATAGTCACTTTTTTTATGAACAGATGCTGTGGAAATACAGGAGAAGGAATTAAGATGATGGAAGAGATGGCAGGGAAAGCAAAAAGACAGGAGACACTTTGTTTTTCTGCCTCAGTGAAATTCTGTTTTCTGTTGTAATTTAAGCTACACAGAAGTATTCATACTCAATTTATGTCTTTGTGAGCAAACCAAACATTTCCAGTGTCCACAAATTTTTCCTGCACCCTATGGTGTATGTTTTCTTGCACCCGAGGCCCTAGGTGGCTAGTGGTCTATTTTCTGTTACCAACAATAACTCATTTATATATGCTCTTACTTCTTCCACTGAGCACAGTCATTTGAGTTCACATTTTTGTGTATCAGTGTATCAGTATTTCTTTTTTTATTGTTTAATGTTCCTTGTATAGTTGTAGCACTCTTTAAAATTCACAAGTTGATGTATATTTTGGTTTCATAGTTTTGCTATTATTATGATACTTGGAACATTTGCATGTATGTTTTAGTAGGAATATGTATTTTCTTTTCTTTTTGTTCTTGGTAATAGTTTGGGATCAGCAGGGTGTGGCTGATATAAGTTTAACTTGCTAAGATGCTGCTTTTGAAGATAGTTTGACATTTTACATTCCTGTCAGCTTTTATACAAGGGTTGTTGTTTTTTGTGTTTGTTTTTTGAGACAGGGTCTCTCTGTGTAGCTCTTGCTGGCCTGGAACTCACTTTATAGACCAGGCTGTCCTGGAACTCAGAGATCTGCCTGCCTCTGCCTCCTGAGTGCTGGGATTAAAGGTTCTGGCCACTATGCTTGCTTAGTGTGAGTATTTTTAATCCAAGTGTTCTTTTCAAATATTTCACTTGGCTTAATTAATTAGTTTGTTTTGAAGGTTTGAAATTATAAACACACCAAGAAATCGTGCATAAAATTTTATGCACTGTCTATATCATAGAAAACAAAGTGGAGTTACAAAAGTACAGTAACACTAGTTTTTATATTTATGTATTATTTTGCCTTACTAGAAATCTTATATTTCTTTGTATCTGTTTGAGTTACCAACTAGTGTTCTTTCATTTCAGTGTGAAGGTCTCTTTTCATCATGTCTTGTCAGCTACTAGTAACAGATTTCTTTGGCTTTCTGACTATTCTTAAAATCTCTCCTCATTTCTGAAGTGTTGTTTGTTTACTATAGAATTCTTGGTTGAGTGGTCCAGTTGCCATGTTTTCTGATGAGAATCTGCCAGTCTCACAGATGATCTCTTCTAGAATATCTCAGTTATCTGATTGGCTTCACCTTCCCTACCTTCCCTGAAAGGATCTTGTTGTACATTCCTAAGGCTGCCCTTAGGATCATGATCCCCAACCTCATCTTCCATCATGGTGAGATTGCACGTATATGCCAACATGTCCAGCTTTGCTTCTCTCATGATTTTTAATTTGTCTTTCACTGCTTTGAAAAATTGTGTTTTAGTGAAGATCCCTGATTTTATTCTGCTTGGGATTTTGTTGGATTCTTAGATGTATAGGTTTATATTCTTTCGTAAAAGTTAGAATGTTTTAAACATAAATTTTGAGTGTTTTTGTTCCCTTTTCCTTTTCTTCTGTGAGATTTTTATGAGTATATTGTTACAGGTTCCTCAGATTTTGTCTTCTTCTTTCTTCTGGTTTCTTTCCCATTCCCTCTCTCTTCCTCCATCTTGCTGTAAAGCCCCAGTTGGCCCCACACTTGCCAGGTGGACTAGGAAGGCCTCTAACTCACAGTCATTTCCCTGCCCTTCTCTTTCCCTGTTAGGGTTATAGACGTATGCCACTATATCCAGGTGGACTCAGAAGGCCTCTGATTCACAGTCATTTCCCTGTTAGAGTTATAGACATGTGCCACCATATCCAGCTTCATTTTTCTTCTTTATTCTTTCTGGTTCTCAGACTAGGTAGTTTGAATTGTGTCATATTCAAACTCACTGATTCTTTTCTCTTCCTAGTCAAGTATGTTGTTGAATTTTTCTAAGGATTTGGAATTTTCTTTATTGTTTTCTGCTCCCACGTTTCTATTTGGTACCTTTTAATAATTAATATTCCCTACATTTTCATCCATTGTTTTATCTTAGTTTTTTGTGTGTATAATTTCCTTCACTTTGGTGCATACTTAAGATAGTTAATTTTTAATACTTACCTGGCAGGGGAGATGCCATGATCATGGAGGTGGTTTTCCAGGGCCAGACTTATCTATCGAACTCCAGATGTGCTGACCCATGCGATTTCCCTAAATGTGGGAAACTCAACTCTGTAATTTGTGGTAGTGGGGGACTGTGTTTGTACTTTCCCCTTAAAAATAAAATAATAATAATAATAATATAAAATAATAAATGACAGCCAATTTATGTCTTTGTTGGGTATGTCCAGTGTCTTCACTCTGTCAGGGATTATTTTTCCTAGCCTTCTTCCCTGCGAATTGGCTGTATGGCACACATGTGCATGTGTGTGTATGTGTGTTTTACAATTTTTGTTGAGAACTGGACAGTTTTAATATTGTAAGGTAAGGTAATAACTCTGGAAATCAAAATTTTCCCTTCTCCAAGGTTGCATGTTTGGTTGATGAGAGGTGCAGTTCATTTATTTAGTGTTTTCATAATGTATATTGGTGTGGGTCTCTTTTAGTTTGTCTTGCTTGGAATTTGTTGATATTCTTGAATATATAGTGTTTTCATTATTTTTCTATGACTGTAACAAAACACCACGACCAAAGCACCTTAAAAAAGAAAGCATTTAATTGGGGGTTGCAGAGGATTGTAGTCCATGATCATCGTGGGGAGCATGGCAGCAGCAGGCAGAGCACTGGAGCAGTAGCTGAGAGCTTACATCTGATTTACAAGCAGGATGCAGAGAGAAAGAGCTAACTGGGAATGGCAAGGGCGTTTGAAATCTCAAAGCCCATCTACAGTGACATTCCTCCTCTCATAAAGCCACACTAACTAATTTTTTCCAAACAGTTCTGCCACCTGGGACCAAGTATTCAAATAGATGAGCCTATGGGGGCCATTTCCATATTCCATTCCTTGGCCCCCCTAGGCTTATAACCATATCATAATGTAAAATGGATTTAGTCCAACTTCAAAAGTTTAGTGTAACAATTCAGAGTCCAAAGTCTCTTGTCAGACTAAAGGCAGTCTTTTAATTGTAACCCCTATAAAATCGAAAACCAAATTACATGCTTTCAACATACCTTGGCACAGAATATGCATTACCATTCCAGAAGGGAGAAATGGGGCATAGTGAGGAAATATTGCATCAGTGCAAGACAGAAACCCAGCAGGGCAAACTCCAAATCCTGTAGCTCTGTGCCTGTCATCAAAGGGTTTAGATGTCTTTCCAGGTCGCCCACTCTCTCCAGTTTTGTTGACTATCACTTCTCTCGGGCTGGTTCCAGTTCCTGTTAGCAGTTTTCCTTGGCAGGTATCCCACTCTCTAATATCTCCTACCTCTTGGGGTCTCCATTACATCCAAGCTTTGCCTTCCCAGCTTCCCTGCTTCACATAACTGCCTCTCTGAGTCTCCCTGCAGGGATGCCCTGCCGCACCCCTGGCCCCTGAAGCTTTCTTTAACCTTAGAGGAAGATTGCATAGTTCCTTTACTCCTGAGTCCCTTTTAACTCCAAAGTCAGAACCACAAGGGTGATGCTGCCAGGTTCTGCTGCCAGCTTGGGATGGAACCCAGCATACTCCTTGAATCACATTTGCATAAGTCTTGATTTGTTGCTCTTTAGGAACAGGTAATTCTATAGTCCTTTCCTTTTCACAAATTGCAGGGTAGGGTTTTGCCCTGAGAGCAGCACTCCCTGTGTTCCATTTTTCCATATTTCTTCTAGCACAAACCAAGACTTCAACATTAAGTGTCCTTGTGTGCTTATTCTCCTTAAACTACACATTTTGTATTTCTTTTTTTCTTCTTGCTCTTTTTTGTTGTAGATCTGCATAAGAGTGATTACTAATAATCATGCAACAGAATTGATTTCAGGCTGTCTTGAAATCTCCTCTGGCAAAGAAATTACTCCAGAACTCCAGATTAGCCTCAGGCAGATTCTTTGACAAAGGCAAAGAGCAGTTATGCTCTTTGGCAAAGTGTCACAAGAATGGTCTCTGTTAATACTGTTTCCTTCTGAAACCTCTTGAGCTGGGCCTTCATAGTCTACATTGCTCTCAGCACTATTGTCTTCCAAGTTCCTTTTAGGTGGCCGATTAAACCCCACTTACAGTGTTCAACCTCTTTCCTGGTTCAAAGTCTTCCCCATTCCTCCAGAAAACCCAGCATGGTCAGGACTTCACAGCTGTGTCCCACTTCTGGTATCAGCTTTGTCTTAGTGATTTTCTGTTGCTGCAACAAAATACCCTGACCAAGGCAACTTATAAAAGAAAGCATTTAAGTTGGGGACTCAGGGTTCTAGAGGGCTGTAAGTCTACGATCATCGTAGTGAGGGAGCCTGGCAGCAGTAAGGCGTTGGAGCAGTCAGTATCTGAGAACTTCCATTTGATCCACAAGTAGGAGGCCCAGAGAGAACCACCTGGAAATGGCATGGGCTTTTGAAACTTCAAAGCCCACCTCCAGTGACACAACTGCTCCAACAAGGCTATGCCTTCCAGTCTTCCCAAACAGTTCCAACTGGGGACCAAACATTCAAATATACGAGCCTATGGGGATGTCTTCATTCAAACTACCACATATATTTTATATCTTTCATCTAAGTAGAGTTCTAGCCACATTTCTTCAAATGATTTTTGTTTCCTTTTCTGGCTCCTCTTTAGTGAGTTTTCCAAACTATTTTTGCTCAGCCTACTTTAACAGTACTATTGACTAGATGGGTTAAACAAGCAAAATCTATTTCTCATTGTTCTGGAGTCTGGTAAGTAGTTTGATTTGGGTACTACTAATTAATTTCCTTGTCAGAGCCTCTTTCAGGCTTCAAGATGTAGTCTTCTTGCCATCTCTTCACACATTTCAAGTTCTCTGATAAAACTAGTTCTTTCATGGAGACCACACCTCTATGACTTTATCATCTCCCAGAGACCTCCCAGGGAGGTACTATCATGTCCAGTATTGAGAAAGAGAGGAGGGGGCACAAATATCTAGTCTGAAGTGGACTGTATTTCTCATCTGTGCTTTCCAAAGTCTGTTCTTTATTTCCATCTTTACACTGATTTGGCTGATTTCTTGAGTAGCTGGAAAGATAAAGAGGTTCTTGAGTTTTTGAACTGACACTATTGGGAGAATAATGGAGAGGTCATCTGGAGTATGAACTGGTGAGAGGGATAGAGTAGAGTGGAAAAGATAATGTTTTGTTTGACTTCTCTTGATTTTGTGGAGATGCCCAGTGGGTCATCGGATGCTTATGGTTTTTGTTTAGGAAAGTTCATGTTGGATACAGAATTTCAGGGTCTGATATTCACTTGTGTACCTCTGTTTTTAAGCCTTTGAGATATATCATTAATGAATATTGTTTTTGAATCAGGTTTAAAGTAATAAAGATAATATTTTAAGTATAAATTTTAAATTGAGATTTATTTTTAATTCATATGTATTGTGTTTTGTCTGCATCAATGAAAGTGTGCTGTGTTGGAAAGTCCTGTTGCCTTGGAGGTCAGAAGAGGATGTCACATCTCCTCGAACTGGAGTTAGAGACAGTTGTGTTTGTTTGTTTTGTTTTTTGCTTTTTGTTTTGTAATTGGGGTTTCTCTGGGTAGCTTTGGAGCCTGTCCTGGAACTCGCTCTTTAGACCAGGCTGGCCTTGAAGTCAAAGAGATCCACCTGCCTCTGCCTCCCAGGTGCTGGGATTAAAGGTGTGCACCACCACCACTACCTGCCTAACAGACAGTTGTAAGCTGCCACATAGGTGCTGGGAACCAAACCTGAGTCCTCTGCAAGAGTAGCCAGCCTTTTAAATGTTTGAAACATCTTTCCAGCCTTATAAATTTTACATCAAATCATAATAAAAGAAAAATAATCACTTTAAACAAATATGTATAATTTTTGCTTTTTTCTTCTTCCTCCTTTTTCCTTCTTCTTGTTCTTCTTCCTCCCTTGTCTTTCTCCTCCTCCTCCTCCCCTAATTACTGTGATTATTATTTTTTTGAGACAGGATCTCACTATGTAGCCCTGGCTGTTCTGGAACACATTTTGTAGAGCAGGCTGTCCTCAAATTTATAGTGACCACCTGGTGCATTTTCAATGACTGTGCTTTCCAACTCTGTTTTTAAAAATGGAAGATACAGAATACCTGAATGAGCCATAGGGTGGCCCTCATATATTTATCAGGTTCAGTTACCAATATATGTCATATATTACTTTATATACATTACTTTATTTCTTGCTTCCTCTGAATACACCTTTGCTTTTTTCTTAGAGAGTTCAAAAGTAAATTTTAGTTATAACCTTGTATACTTGAACACTTACATCTGTCTTCTGAGATTAAATACCTTTTTATGTATGGCCACATGCTGTCATGATTCAAGAATCAATAATTTTTAGATATCCTAACTAATATAGTCTTTATTAGTCTGCTTGCAGCTACTATAACTGAAAGCTGGAGACTGGGTAATTTATAAAGAAATTCATATGGCTTAAGTTCTGGAGTCTGGGAAGTGTCAGGTCAAGAGGCAGTGTGTGGAGAAAACCTTTTTCTTTCTTTTATTATGTTGGAGCCAGGTGGAAGAGAGGATGCAAAGAGCATGAGGGATAAACTTGTTCTTACAATAAATCCAGTCTCTGTAAGGACCACTCTTCTGCAGTGATGATGCTTCCGTAAGACCTCTAGACCCCTTATGACTATGGCTTTGCTTTCAATACTATTGCTGGGGGGCGCTAAATTCTCAGCACATAAATTTTTGGGGATACATGTAAGCCATAGTTTAGTTCATGAGCAAATGTTCTGTAAATGCCTTTTTTGTCTTTTAAAATTTCCATCATGAATCTAATTAAGGATCACATGTTATGTCTTACCACATTTCTTGTGACCTTATAATATCCTTTGACATGTAATAGCCTCCTTGGATTCATTCATTCATTCATTCATTCATTCATTCTTTCTTTCTTTTCCCCCCCATGACTTTGACCTTTTTGAAGTCTCAGCTTGTTGCCATATTGTTTGTCCCATGATTAAGATTTGGTTCCTGGATGGATGCAGGTTAAAATTTTTTTAGGCCAAGCATAGTATATAGTTGTTGATGTGTGCTCCTCATTGAGTTTTGCCTAGAGGAATATGATGTTGGTAATATTGATCACACTAACTTTAATCAGTTACTTTCTAGGACTAGAGAGATGGCTTAGTGGTTAAGAGC